TCCCTAAAATAATTAGGAGATTAAGAACACCCGGATATGGCTACAAGTAGTTCAATCCTATCCCTAGGTAGAATCTATAAAATGAGGGTTAAAGCCTCAAGTTCTTGTTAATTAATCTTTCCCAACCCCAAATAATATATTCCAAAATTAATTCGGAGTTAATGGCGCGTCCTAGGGTTAGCTAATCCCTTTGGAAACATTAAAGAACAAGAATAATTAAAGTAACAATAACTCACTTCATAAGAGATAAAAAATCATTCAATACATAAGCACAACAAGGTATTTAATCCACACTTTAAATATGATTATTTCCATTAAAAAGATTCAAGTGTTGAATACAATACTACACACTTAGATATTCAATACAAAGCAAGGAAATGAAGAAATGAGTACAAAAGAGTAAGAAATTCTTAACCACAATCTTCAAATCTTCAAGACCAAAGTGTGTGTGCAAACCATAGCTTCCAACCTTGTTCTCTCTAGTCTTAGAGACTGAAAATGAGCCAAAGATTTTCAAAAGATTTTGCTAGGTTGAGTATTTGTGGGTTTGGAATTTTAGAAAATGTGAAATGTCAATCCAGCCCAGTTCTGATGCCCGTTGACCGCACCTGCGAAATAATCCACGCAAGTGCGGCTCCGCAGATGCGGACACCTTATCGTAGAAGCAAAAACTTGAGGGATGTCTGGCGCCGCAGATGCGGGCTTCCAAGCGCAGATGCGCAACCGCTTTCGCGATTACCTGATCGCTGATGTGATTTTTGGCAAAATAGTAATCTTCGCAGATGCGGACTATTCACGCAGAAGCGGGGTCACTTCTGCGACCAATCTTCCGCAGATGCGGAATCACAGGGGCGTTTTGCATGGTTTTCATCCTTTTTTGCTCAATTCCTCTCCAATTGAATTCAAATCACTTCATGGCATCATTTACCTGAAAATCTAACAATACACACCATAAACGACCTCATATTATAGTTAAAGGACATAAAAACTAAAGAAAAAAGACTAGAATGAGTGGTAAAATCACCACTTGTCAACACCCCCAACTTAAAGCTTTTGCTTGTCCTCAAGAAAATCATAACCAACACTTCAATGAGACTTTACCATTTAAAGCACAAGTAGTATTGCTATTATTTACAAATCACATTCTCCAATTAAGCACCATACTTATGGATTTGGTTGGTACTATTAATTAGGTTCAAGCACGCGAATCTTAACCAAATAACTTCCTCATTTGAAAACACTTTCAAGAAATGCAAAGGATTTTCTAAGTAATCAAGTGACAACAAAAAGCCTCAAGGAGTGACTCAAAAGCACTAGTATACTACATATGCTCCATTTACTCATTTTCGGATACAACAATGTTACCAATTCATCCTAATTCATGTGTCCTCACAAGAAAGAAAGTCCCAAAATTATCATATTTACAATAACAACACAAGGGACAAATGCACAAAGACGCTCTCTCTCAACAAAGAATTTCAAGTGTTACAAAATATCATGCCATAAGCTTGCCCTTATTTTAATTTGCCACCTATTCAAGAACATTCGGTTGGAGATGCCATAAGGACTTTTTAAGTTTGTAATGTAGGTTTAGGAAAGGGTAGGATAATCATTTGGGATACAAGTGGCTACACCCTCCTTGAACACTACTCACATTTGTCTTTCTTTTTACATTTTGCTTCTTTTTAAACCAAATAGCCTTTATTGGCATCTAGTTACCAACATAGAACCACCTTGAAGTTCCTCTCTAATTTTCTCAAGGCTCCATATTTACATACACATATTTTTTATTTTTTTATATAACTACTTCCTTTTGGAGCTTGAGTAATTATATCTCAATGTACAACTTTACCAATTTCCACTTTGACTCCAACACGCCCAACCTAGGCTTTTAGCCTCATTCTCAATATTCAAGGAGGGACGGGTTCAAAAGATGGAATTATTTCATAAAAGGGAAAACGTTTGTAATGAGGTGGCCAAAGAAAAGGTTAAAGGCTCAAATGGGGTAAGCTAGTGATAATATTTATGCAATGGTAGGCTTAAAAGGAAAAAGAGGTTTTTCAAAGATCACAAAGAATGCCTAAGGTCATCCCTCCAACCAAACATAACTTAACATTAGCATTGAAAGACCAACCGGGCAAGTCCTAGATGATATAAGTAAACACAAGAATTATTTCTAACAAAAAACTAACACACATGGCACATGAACTAGTCAAGACGGATCAATTTCACTTTTTTTTATAAGAGAATTTAGAGCAATATCATGCCAACTAGTGTGCAAAGAGTCACTAAAAGAGCCAAACTTTATCACAAAAACTATTCCTTCCCATGCATTTAATTTTTCAATTGAAAACCAAAATCGGAGGGGTATTCTTAATTCACATTTCCCATGCAAGAGACTAATTCTATTAGTACCAAATAATCCAAAAGTCTCCACATAACAAAACAAGACTAATTCCCTTAAGAAAATCGTCACGCCATCCATCATAAGGAAAAGTCACCCGGTTCAACACAAAAATATTCCTCGAAAAAGAACCGTAGCATAAAGAAAACCCAAGAAAATACTACTAAAAAAATGAAATAATGAAAACTTACTAAAAAAATAATTAACAACAACAACTAATATTAAAGGAAGAAAGAAAAGAATAAAATAGGACAACAAAAGTGACTAATCTGCAAATATATATAGCTACTCACACTACGCTCGGTAAGAGCACATGATACACAATATCAAAACAAGCCCAGCAAGGGCACAAAATATCCATACAACATAATACGCCCGACAAGGGCACAAGTCAAAGTAGCAATGTATAGACAAAATGTACGCCACCCCCAACTAACAACATTGCAGTGTCCTCACTGCACAATATCAAAATTAAAGCACAAATAGTTTGAGGGTCTCCCTGAGGTCTGCATCAGACTAGCAGACTGTGGGAGGAAGGCTGATCACTGCTGTGCTGAACTCGTAGCCTCATCATCATCAGTCTTATCATCATCATCACCATCACCAGCAGCGTCTGACATGAAGGAGTACTCCTCGCTATCATCTTTAGCCTCCACTGGAATCTTCTTGCCTGGATGCCCCAATTTGAAGATGGCCTTTATGCCTCTCCACATCTTGATCATGAATTTGCTCTTCTTCTTGTTCTTCTCCTTCTCATTCTGGAAGTCTAACTGGAGATCTGCATGCGCCTTGGCCAAGTTGTCATAGGCTGTCTCAACTCTGCCATTTGATGCTGCCATCTTCTCCTGAGACTCTGCCTGACTTTTTTGCGCCTCTAAGTAACTCCTCATGTCTTTCTTGGAGAAGTATGCGGGCCCAGGCTAGAAGTATGAGGGCCCACTCGGAAGCTGTGATACTAACTCCCTGATAGATGTAAGGTGGGAGTTTAGAACCCCAAATGGTCCCTCAGGTGCAGTTGCCTGTGAAGATGACTCTGGACCGGCAGCAGCAGTGGTGACCTTCCTTTTCTTGCTTTTGACTGCACTACCCTCTCCTGTTACTCTCAGCGACTGAAAGGGTTTATCAGCTAGTAACCAATGATCGGTGCTACGCACCTCAACCTCTACTTTCATTCATAACTGTGTGATCAGCAAAGGAAACATCAACCCTACATCATTGTCCAACAGATACTCTCTCAGCTCCCATAGGATATAGTAACAAACATTCACAGGAATGTCGTCCAAGATGCATGCAATTATCAAGGCCCTGGTGAAGGAGACATCTGAGACATTCCCACAAGGTGACACCCTGTTGCAGAGGATGTAGAGCCACATTTTTGCTTCAGCTGTAAAGTCAATTGACTTCAAACCCTTTCTCCTATTTCCCCATTTTGCTCTCATGCTTGGAGGGTAGAGATTTGAGACAAGCCATTCCTCGTTGCCGCACTGGTCCTTCTCGCGCACCTGCTCAAGTGGATAGTTAGGAATCCCAAGTGTGTCATTAATATGCTCCATCCCAAACCTCACTAATTTCCCTCTAATGATGAGTTGTGGGTCGGCGAAGTTTATGCGCTTTAGATTCACGTAGAACTCGCGAACCCACTCCTCATTGGCTTTGCACGGAGTGGGAATGAAACATGACCATCCAGAGGCTTGGAGACGGGCATAGAAATCTAGGAGCCGCTCGGCCAACTTCTCCTCGGCGATCCCTTTTTCAAGCACTATCTTTTTGGTCACGAGGCTGTCATAATATCTGTGTTGACAGTCAGCCGACATGAAGCGTGAGTTATGAAATGGTTCATCAACCTCCTCCTCAATTTAATGATGTTGCGGAGCATTTTCGTTCATCTTTGGGTCCATTTTAGCTCTAAGTACCTTCACAAAATCAAAACAATATTAGTCGGGCAATAGAATCATGTTAAGCAACTTAAAACTTTGCAATTAGGCCGAAGAATCAAGTTGAACGGGCCTGGGAAGCTTCAGTTGCAAAGCCACTGGAATTTGGCAAACTGCCCAGTTTCTGCACCTGCGGAAATATCATCGCAGGTGCGGTACCGCATCTGCGAATTTTCTCCGCTTCTGCGGTTTTGCTCACCATGCCAAAAGTCGCACCTGCGGAACAGTCAACGCAGGTGCGAGGCCGCATCTGCGAAATTTTCACTACTGGAAAATAGGCCTACCGGAACAGTTGTTCTGGCAACGGTTATTAAACAGTTGCAATAGAGTAGGTATGGTAACGGTTACAACCGTTGCAATAGAGTTTGGATGAAACCGGTACATTTTAGATATTAAACCGTTCCGGTTGATAGTTCACCGTTACCATTGGTCTATTTATAGGAACGGTTTGACGAACCGTCCCAATAGGCCTATTTGTAGTAACGGTTTTAGAAATTGTTTTAATATTGGAACGGGTATTATGTTCCCTCCTCTTTTTCCCCCTGAATTTTGCTACACCCCCCAATATAACCCCTTTTTCCTTTTATTTATATATATTTTATTTATATTTTATTTTGGTAAATATAATAACTAAATTAAAAAATTTCTACACTTCCAATGCTCATTACTACGATCCCAAATCACCTTCCTCAGTACTCTCATTCTCACCTTCCTCTCAAAAAACCTAAATTCTCAACAAACCTAAATTCTCTACAAACATTTTCTTCGACATTGCTAACCCAAATCCCCAATCCCCTCCCAACTCCCTCATTTGCAAATTACAGTCCCAAATCCCCAAAGTCCTCAAAACTCGGTTCCTAACCAGCAAACGTCAAATCTCGATTGCTAACACAAAACTCCGAAATCCCCAAAGTCCCAAACTCCATTTGTTTTTTTGAGTCGTCGTTGAAGTTTGGCTCCTTTTCGCTTGATTGCATCAGCCATGGCCGACGAGGTAACCCAAAAATTTTCCAAGAAAAAAACAAACCCTAGTTTTATTTTGTTTTAATCGTTTATATTTTAATTTTCTAACTTCCTGTTATTTGTATTTTATGCTTCGATTCTTGTTCATAGATTCAAAAGATTCAATTGGTATATGGTAAATTAAATATAAAAGTTCAATTTTCTTAGAAAATTTCTGTATTTTATTGGTGATCTGTACAGTTCTTTGAAGAACCTATATTGCTGGTTATTTTTAGTTGTTGTATATCTGCTCAGATATGTGTGTGCGCGCGCGCTCGTGTGCACTCGTGTGTGTGAGTTTGGGAATATTTGTTTTTGTGTATAAGAATTTGCTTGTAGAGGTTATTGGACTTATAGGTTGTGGATGAATATCCAAATTGGTGTATGTAAAGGTGTGAAGTCTGTAATAGTTTTTGGCCTAAGCCTTTTTCATGTGACATTACGGCTTTTATGCTTCTGTTACTATTACAGTTTCTACTGGAGTTACTAATGAATTCTCTTTTCTTGTTTTTTATTTTATTTTTGTCTTTCTGAGCCGAGGGTCTATCGGAAACAGCCTCTCTGCCCCTATCGTCCCTGGGGCCTCTTTTCCTGCATTTCTTGTTGTTGATGTTGTTGTTGTTGTTGCTGCTTTCTTTGATTTATTTTCTTATGCTTCTCTAAAGTCTGAAAGAGATGAAATGCTCTCTTATGATTCTAAGCATGCTGTTCTGTTCAGGTACTTCTGTTCCTCATTTGGGGTGTCAGTTGTTCCAAGGTTAGTATGACCAAATTTTTGGGAATGTACTTGGTTCATTGCGAACATATCCGCGTTATGTTTAACGAGTATTTCTCCTAATTTGCAGATTGGCTGGGATTCAGTCATGAGAATGAGCGTAAACCTTCGTGATCTATTCTTATATGAGGCTTTTCTTTATTACAATCCTCTTCTTCTTGTGGTTAGTGAAGATCATTATACTAGTTTATGCAAAGTCCTTTCTGCAACATTACTCTTATTTGCATTTCTTTGGTTTTGGTGCTGCAGACCATGATGGTTTGGTTTTGGGGAATAAACCTATGGGTTTTTGCGCAGGCTAATGTCAACTACGCTAAATTTTTTGATCTTGATCAGAATCATCATCTCTCTCACAGAGAGATTTGGAAGGTAACTTACTCTTGTCATGAGCTTATAGTCTTGCAACTTAATGCATCATTAACCAACTCATTTTCACCTAAATGCTTTGGTGCTGATGCATTTATTTTAAGATGGCTAAGTTAAAAACTGCATAGTCAGTATATGTTCCACATTAGAACATGCTACCAAGCTCAAAGCTTAGATTGCATTAAAGTCAGCTAATGTTCCAAGAAAAGTATCTAGCAACAAGATTAGCCTCATGATAATTTCTTTTTCTATCTCAATGACTGAAAAGTTTAACAATTTTTGTTGTCGGGAAAAATCAGCTATGTCCAGGTGTTCTATAACAGGGGCTTTGAAAGTACTAATAGGTGTACAATCTCTATCATTCTCGCTGTCACGTTTTAGGCTAATAGTCACAATGAATGATACTGACTTTATTTTCTTTATTTCTTATTGTATCTAGATGTCAGAAATCATCCAGTTCTTATCCGCTGCAAGTGTGAAAAAATACAGTAAGTTCTTTCTCTTTAGTTTAGGCAGCTGTTAGGTGTGCTTTTTTCTATGGCTATTGGTCTTGGTGTTTATGATTACCGGTTGTACCTGTATGATATTGAACTTATATTCCAACATAAGAGTGCACTATGTCACTCTCAAATCCCACTTGAATTTGTACTGATGTAGATGCATTCCTGTAGATTGTTAAAAATAATGCTTCTCTTTTTCTTTCTATCTTCATCATCGTACCGATCAGGCTTTATGTAGCGGAGCTTGAAATATTTGGTTTCTTTGTACTCTAATGTGCCTCTTTTTTTCCGGTCATTTATACTTAAATATACGAGTATTTGATCCCTTTCTCTGTACTGTTTATTTAGTCATATAACTATACAACATGGCGTCAACGGAGGGGCTGATGCCAATAACAAGAGCATTTTTGGCTTCTTATTATGATAAGTACCCATTTACCCCTCTCTCTGAAGATGTTTCTCGTCTTTCTGATCAAATTCATTCCATGGCTAATGATCTGCACAAGGATTCTCCTTTGACCGAAGGTAATCATTTTCCTCAAATTTACACTCTTATCAAGTTAATAGTAATGCAATAGAATCATATTAATAGTAGTGCAATAGAATCATCATCTATTGGGTTAAATTCAAATGGAAATTGGGCGTCTATTCACAACTATTGATATCCAACTCATGAACAAAAGTGTTAATACATTAGGTAAAAAGGTCTTTGATACATATCAGGGGACAATGGTCTGTAATGGAATTGCATAGAGAGAGTTATGCCCAAGATATAGTGGACCTTTAGGATGAGAATGTATAATGGAACCCACTTGCTCCTTGGTTTCAGGTGGCTGGAAGCCTCGAACAGATGCAACAAGGAGTACATTGGTCTGAAGAATGTTGTATTTTACTGAATAATTTGGTTTTTAATTCAACCATAGGTGGAGCTAGGCGGTCGGCCCGAATCCCTTTCGCTGGAAAATTAGGTTGTGTATATAAGGCCATTTTTTTTATGTGTATATATTATATGATGATAACCCTTGGCTTATATTTGATGTGTATATATTGCATTGTGTATTTTTTTTGTTCTTTGAATCCCCTCGGTGAAAATCTTGCACCCGCCACTTAATTCAACGCTTCTTATTCCCACTTGTGAGGTATGTTGAGAGCCTTCTTTTGGAGCGTGGTTGAGAGGCTGGTCTGGAATGTGAGACCAGGTTATTGGTTATCTTCGGAAGTATTTTGTTTGCATTGAACGCATGTGGTGGCTTGATTAGTGCAGCCACTTAAACTTTGCATTTGTGTCATGTTAGCCACTGATGTAGAACTTTTAAGCTGGTTCTCAAATAGGCGAGAAAACTTTGTGGATGCCATGCCCTCTTAAGGCTTAATGGTCTTTGTGGTTTCTTTTCCTTTTAAATCCTATAACAGGATTAATTTGATATGTTCTTTTTTAGTAGCTTGTATGTACATTTAATGTCCAAATTTGGGTCTTGATAATGTGTTTTTATAGAAGAGCTAGGATCATGACTAGCATCTTGTATGTCCATTATTTTCTATTTCTTGTTTGATCAATTTATTTAGTCTAGGCATTCAAGATGAAAGGTAATGACTTTATTTATCCTCTTTTTTAGGTGGAGTAGATCAAGAAATAGAAGATGAAGGCAATGAAGATCTAGACCTTACTTAAGATGAATTTTGAATTGCTATAGATGAATGTTCTAGTAATCTTTTGTTGTCAATATTTTGAAACTTACTATCTTGAAATGTATTAAACTTATGCACTTGGGGTAGAACATTTATTTTTATGGATATTATTAGTTTGTTGGACGAATTATATTATTAATAGTTTTATTTTGTGATTTATTTAAATTTTAGTGTTATTATAATTATATATATATAAATTTATTTACAATAGGAGTTATATTTCTGTTTTAAATAAACTGTTACAATAGCCTACCAGAACCGTTGCAATAGGATACAAATGGCGTTCCATTAGAATGTAAACCGTTCCAATAGATCCGGTAAACCGTTCCAATAGGTAGTTAAAAACCGTAGCAATACAAAAACAACCGTTACAATAGCTTTAAGAGACCGTTGTTATATCCATAAATAACCGTAACAATAGCTTACGAAAGTGTTGCATTCGATAATATGGTAACGGTTATGAGCCGTTGCATACACATTATAGTAACGGTTTTAAACCGTCCCAATTGGAAGGAATAATCGTTCCAATAGAGAAAGGGAAAACCGTTGAGATAGACGTCTCTATAGCAACGGAGATGAAAACCGTTCCAAGAACCGTTCCTATAGGTCTATTGGCACGCGAGAAGATGTGACGGTCTGCAAACCGTTCCAATATCGCTACGGCAACGGTTTAGCTACCTACTGGAACAGTTTTCCATGCGTTGCCATAGACCAATTTTTCAGTAGTGTTTCTTCGCTTCTGCGGTTTTGGGCCAAGGGTTCCAAAATCCCGACTTTTTCAGCCCTTTACAATTCTTAAACCTGATTTTGGCACCTAATTTATACTCAAGACTTCTAAATTGGTGCCATACAAGATCCTATGACTCTATTAAGACTGATTTTGTGGCACTTCGCAAGAAATTTTCTTTTAGACACTTTGTCGAACACCTTGCAAGCAGTGATAACATATGCTTTTTGAATTAAAATTGGTACTCAGACTTCCTATCATTTTGATTCAGCAATAGCAGCACACACACATGAACTCTCAACCAATTCCTCACCCTAATCTAACATAAATCAGAGGGAAATGGGGAATTGGGGGAAATAGCCACGGGAACTTCAGAAATGGAGAAGAAATAGAAGAAAAGAGAAGTAGAAGAGAGGAGTAGGCCAAGTTACCTGTGTAGTCTTGTACTTGATAAATTCGAGTGAGATCAGTGTAAGGAGTAGTAGTGTGAGATATGGGGGAGTTTGGGGTTTTGGGAAAAGAACAATATTCAGAGACAAGAGATCTATTTTTTTAAACCTACCCGATTTCTGCAATCTGCGTCGCTCTACCGCTTCTGCGGTGAAGAAAATGCATCTGCGTAAATGCCTGCTTCTGCCGCAGGAAAAATGCTTCTGCGGTCCCGCATCTGCGGGCAAATTTCCGCAGATGCGGTTACACCAGATAACTGGTGCCCAGATTTGCAGCCACTATTTTGTGCCATTCCAACGTCCTAGACTCCTTAATTCAACTCCAAAAAATCTGAAACTTGATAGATTAGTCAAAAATAATATGCTAAGCTATTCTATCTGCGGTCAGGGGATCGCAATCTGCGGTCCCGCATTCTGCCAGAAATGGACCGCATCTCCGAGATGGGCCAATAGCGAAGCTGGGACGCTTTTGCTCGGTCTCGAGGCCGCATCTGCGGATCTTCTCTCT